TATTCTTGTGTGCCTCTTAAAGGCAAAATTTTATCTTTAGAAGAAAAAGTATGTATTTTAGAGCCTAGTTTTTTCTCATTCTCCTAAAACTAGAAAATGGTTCATCAGCAACCCAAAAGTTTTTACAAAAATGATCTTTCTTCTCTTATACCAGTTCTATCAGTTATACATTTAGTGTTTCACATTACTTTAAAATAGAATTGAATAAAAATAGGAATGGGGTCCGGGCTTTTAATCACCTTTTCTGCTTCCTTTAAAAATAAGAAATGATAAGATATTCTTGTAACACAAATGATTTTCAAAAGTTTTTATTAAGATGGTTTTATTTTCAGAAAAATTGCTATACAGCATAGCCCAGTGGTCAAGGACAGAAGAAACTTGGTTTGGGTCACTGCATCCAGTTTGGCAGTGATGGGTCAATAGGACTCACCTGCAAAATGAGGAAAATATTATAGTTCCTTCAAAGGATTGCTGTGAAAGTTGAATGAGATTAATATGTGAACATATCATATATTTATTCTTAACAGAGACGCTAGTACATAGTAAGTATTCCACAAATTTGACTATTTTTACTTATAATAATGTTTACAAAAGCACATAAACAGCCAAGTTAATGTTCTTCTACACAGGATATTTAAAAGCAAACTCTCATCTGTTAGAAGTAACAACTTTGAGGAGCAAAATATGAGGGCTGCCATATAGTTCATAGTACAATTTTATGAAAGGTCTTGCAGAAACTCTTGTGCCTCTTCCAAAGATTTCTCTACTTTGCCTGATGCTGGTCAAAACTTAAGGCAGGGTGTGATGACTCATACCTAAAATCCCAAAATCCCAAGTGAGAGTCTTGAGTCCAGCAGTTCAAGACCAACCTAGGCAATCCAGCAAGACCTTGTCTCAAAAAAAAAAAAAACAAAACAAAAGTTAGCTGGGCATGGTGGTGCATGCCTGTAGTCCCAGTTACGCAGGAGGCTGAGGCAAAAGGATCACCTGAACCCAGGAGGTTGAGGCTTCCATGAGCTGTGATCATGCCACTTAAAAGCAAACTGTTGTCTTTACTGTCTTGTCAGGGAGTACTGCCAATATTGCTACATAAATGTTTGGGATCCCACTGTCCATTCATCCAGCAAGTAGATTGAAAGCGGCAATCTGCTTCTCAAGAAGTAACCCAGATGAAGCATGTTAATATGGGAGTCACAAATCTCTTCACTTCCCTGATTATTGTCCCGGGAAGTTATAGGATCTGTCTAGCAAGCCAAAGCCACATGAAGGCAGAATGATCAGTGAATATGAATATAAACATCAGTTCTTTAGGAGAAAAAACATTACAATTCCTTTTTGTTTTTTAGAAATCTATCATATTTTGCACTAGGAAAACTGTTAGTAATTATTTGATCAGAAAAATAGTTGATCAGGTTGAGCCCTGGTCCACATGCTCTTGCCTACATTTTGTTTACGACTCTTCTGGTTGATCCCAGGACCCATCTTAACTGATTTTAAAAAGCTCTTCCTAGGAGAGGACATGGTGTGGAGGTCCTGCAGCAGCCACTTTGGCTGTGGGCACCATAAGGTTTACTTTCTGGATCCAGGATGCTGGCCTATAAATAATGAATGCAACACAAATATATTCAAGTAAAAAGGGGAGTTTAGTGGGAGTGTTATGGGTGTCTCATAGAGTCAAAGGCAGAGGTAAATACCAATATTTAAGAAGAGCCGAGATGTCACTAGGCTAAAAGAATCCTGGAAGCACAGTCACATTCACAGAACCAGAGCATCTCCATGCTTTCCATGCCTTCCTAAATAGTGGCTTCTTTCTTTTTATCATTGCAGATTGGCTTTCTCCAAATGACAAAAAAAAAAAAAAAAAAAACACCACCGTTGATATCCTAGCTTTATATCATAGAGCTTTAGCCAGACAGAGCAAGATTGGCCTACTCAGTTTCAGTTCCAAAATCCCGGAGAAAAACTCTGCTGGGTCTAGCTTGGATCAGATTCACTAGGGCAAAGAAGTGGAATACCATTTGGATCCATTTGGATGAGGTACCCAACCAACCCTTGCCTATCGGTAGTCTCATATTGTTCTAATATGTTGGTACCAATGGTTTAAAACAACTGGGTGAGGCAGTTCTCCACAGAAGTGCTGCCCTGACCATTCCATAGATGTCCCCGTTGCATGGCTATACTGTAAAAACAACGCAAGGTGGTAGATAGTTCCAGCTTCCATTTACCAACCAAGGCTGCCCAATGATTCCTGAGAATATCTTGTTAAAATTGCTCATTCACGGTTAGGAAGTTCAGGATGACAGTATGGGGGGAGGAGAACGGTTGCAGCTGAGCAGAGAGAAGGGAAGGAGGGCATGTCAACCAAACCTCACCAGCGTAAAGCAGGGGGGTTCTCTGGACCTCCCAGCTCTTTTCAGATTAAATCCTTATACTTCTCCCACCTGCCTCTGCTTCCCTCCTGCCCTACACTGCTTTTTAATATCTTATCCCATCACTTTTGAAATGAAGACTTACTGTGCACTTATTAGACTTTATTCATCTTCCAGAGAAGCTTGCTAGACCTGATGCGAAAGTCTGAAGGAAGGCAGAGTTGATTTTTCAAAAAAGCACTTGCCCATGTCTTCTTGTTCTTTTTCTTAGAATAACAGAATCAAGGTTGAAACAAATCAACCTTGAGAGCCATCAAGTTACTCATTGTTGTGCACATTCCATCACTGGTATCCATGACAAGTGACTATCCAGACTGCTTGACCACATACCAAAGGAGAACTCACTAACTTTCAGGAGAGCTCATTCATTCTACCTTTAGACAGTTCTATTAGAAGTACTTCCCTGTATTAAGCTCTATCTGGGCCAAAAATGTGTCTTCTCTTGTTGCTTCCCATCTGTTGGTCCTGGTTTTACCACCTGGAAACAAATAGAAACGTCTAATATCTTTCCTACATGCTCACCTTTCAAGAGATCCAGCATGTTCACCATGTTTCTCCCTCAGATCTTTCTTCTTCAGGTGAAGCAATTGTTCTTTCTATAACTCTTCTGTTCAAGTTCCTCTGTTAACCTACACTCTCTTTTAAAAGTTTTACTTACTTAAGTGTACCTCTTTATATTTGTCCCCTATAATCAGGCATAATCTTCCAGATGTGAAAAGATCAACACAGAAGGAACAGAACTAATAACCTCTTTGGCCAAGCATGGTAGCTCATGTCCATAATCCCAACACTTTGGGAGGCTGAGGCAGGAAGATTGCTTGCGGCCAGGAGTTGGAGACCAGCCTGGGCAGCAAAGGGAGGCCTTATCTTAATAAAAGGAAAAAAAAGGAAAAGCTAGTTGGATGTGGTGGTATACACCTATAGTCACAGTGTATACCTGGAGATTTAGGCAGCAGGATTGCTTGAATCCAGGCGTTTGAGGCTGCGGTAAGCCATGATCATGCCACTGCACTCCAGCATGAGTGACAGAGTGAAACTCTGCCAAAAACAAAACAAAAACAAAAAATACTTTCTTTCATTGTAAATATGGAACTGTTGTTCAAGAAAATCAAATTTATCTTTCAGGAAGACCAACCTATGCTTGGTTACTCTCCAGCTGAAAATTATATAATAATTAATTTATAATAAATTTTAAATGATAAAAAGTATTCAAAGTATATAAGTGTCTAGAGGAAATCTATGTTGATGTGAAAATTTCAGGCATCAGTAGTTAAAACTAGAATGGAAAGGGGGTGGGGGCAATTCATGAATGCCCACTGCTCATCAAATCACATGTCTGCTTTACTTCCTATTCATAATGCTAGTACTATCCAATGAGTCAAAAACAGTGGGCAAAGTAAGCCCATATCAGAGGATTGTTTAATTCCTTTCTTCCTTTTTATGAAGCCCATATGCTTAACAATATTCATGTCCTAGTTATATACAAAATAGAAGAACTCTGGGATAAGAACCCCGAAGGACACCCAGCCCACTTAAAAGCTGGAGGACAAGTCACTTGCTACTCTTCCTGAAAGATGCTGTGTAAACCAGTGACTCAAAGAAGAGCAAGAGGTCACCATGTTGCGTTGGGTGGCACAGTGGACTAGTCTGAATAAACTCCTAGCTTCTTATTCCAGAAGCATAGGTAGAAGTAGACCTAATTTAAGGGGTTTGGAATGAAGCTTTGGGGGGCTCGATCTGAGAAGCTCCAGCCCCATGTTAGATAGATGTTCTAAAATAGGGACATTTTGAGCCTGCCCTTATCTGTAGCCACTTATGAACTTATAGGAAGACAGATTATCCTCAGAAAATAATGCATAATATTCTTTTCTCTTTATATGTTTGCAGATGTAAAATGAGGATATGGCATATATTTGAAGATTCCAGGGCAGAAAGATTTAGAAGTTTGAATTCTAAAAGTTAATACAAAATAAGTGGTAACTTTTTATAAATCCAATCATAAGCATATTTTTCTCCTAAAAATGACTGAGTGTGTGGCCATGGATCCCTCATGTCACCATGGTCCCTAGAACCATAGCCAAAGAGTGTGTTAGATCCCTTGTATTAGTAGAACTAAAATTGAAGATTTTGTTACCTTGTTAACCTCAAAAAAGTTCAATCTAGTGGGTTCGGGTATAACTTTAACCTCATTTGGTTACCACAATGGAGGAAATGAAAAACTGTAAATAGTGAGAGGCTACTTACCACACAACTGAGAAAATAAACTCAATATTCCTTAGAGTAAGGAGGGACAACTTCATCTTTAAGGTCCAACTCCTGGTCATGGCTAGCAACTTAATTGAGGGATTCTAGTCTCAGTATCATTTATTCATCTTCTGAATGCTATAATTCTAATAAATGAAGAATTCATGTCTTCACTTTAGAATTAGAAAAAAGGAAGACTTCATGATTGGTGTGCTATATTGAATAATTGGGAATACTTTAGGATTCATTGCTTTATCCATAAACAATGGCAGATCTACCTATTTCCTGATTCCTGTACTTATGTAAGATATTTTATTTCTCCCACAGGTTGTTCGGTTTTTACAAGGGAATTCTGCCACCCATCTTGGCTGAAACACCCAAAAGAGCAGTGAAGGTAAACACTGTATGCCTTCCCACCAAGCAAGAAATAGGGTACAACAACAGGCTCAGCATTCAAACATTCCACAACAAACTATGGGACATTAATATGAATTGAAGATCAAACACTAAAAATCATAATGCAGAAATTATAGCATAATTAGTCTTATAATTAGATTTGGTCAATCTCTCATATGTATATCTATTTGGATTTTTTTTTTTTTTTTTAGGTAAAAGCACTCCCTTGTAATGTGGAAATAATTCAAAAAATAACATGGTGAATAACATTCAAATAATCAAGCCACAAAATAGCTTGGATCTTTTCTCAAAGTAATTCAGAAAATTTCCTTTGGAGCAATAATTATTAAAGAAAAACAGAGGGAGAGAAGGGAGCAGGGGAGAGGTGGAGAAACCTTTCTCCCTAAATCATTCCATTTTATAAACAGAGTGAACTAATACACTGTATTTCTTTACATATGATTTCCATATAACACATTTATTTGGTATGCCAACTTCATTTTCCCCCTTAGTCTCCTCTGTTAAAATTCTCTATCCTGATTTTTACAAAATTATTACTTCGACTACCCCGTTTTCCATCTCTTTAACCACATACCTGGAGGTTAATGTACTATCTAGTTCAGTATTGGAATAGGAACAGGGAGATGGCAGAACCTCCAGAAGCAAAAAAACCAAATCTGGTCTCTTTTGTGTATTTTCTTTCAGACAAAAGTCCTGATCATAGTGACTCTGACTGCATTGCCTCCCTCCCCCACAACACTGGCATCCCCAAATATGGTTTTGTCCTCCATGGTGATGATAACATAAACTTAGACCAAAGCACTTCCTTTCCAACCAACATAAAGCTTTTTTCACATACATTACTCAATTTGTATTCAAAATGTTCCTGAAAGGCAAGAAGGAACAGCTCATATACTTTTTCTCAGTAAGTCAAGAGGGTGACTGGCTTAAAAATTATGATAAAGTAACCAACATGTATATACAAACATCAAACTTTTACATTATGTCAAAATAGTAATTTAATAGGATTGAATTCAGCTCTAGAATTTAGAGACCAAAGCTTTAGAACATACTTTCTTTATAAATGCATCCTCTTTGTTGCTATAGCTTTTGTGATTTTATGATATTGCTTCAGTACAAATTTCACTGTAACTAACTGAATCTCAGTAGAGAATCTGGAAAAAGTTCACCAAAGTACACAAAAGGACTGAATTGAATTATGAAATGGCTTTACTTGATAAAAGATTGCCCAAGTAAACAAACAGAGCAGGGTTCCTGTTCAAAAGGAAAGTCACTTTGTCTCCATGGAAGAATATATTCACTTGTTCAGTGTTTTACATGTATAAATAAAAGTAAGATTATAATTAGAGTTTTTCCTGGAATATTTTTTTCTTAATACTATATGTTGGAGACAATTTAAACTTTAAAAGATTATGGCTTATCAACATTGAACAATCTTTTACAGAAAAAAAATAGAACTTTACAAAACTGAGTTAGTCTCTACTTTAAAAAACCAATGTTCCTTGCCAGAACAATGGTTAACAGATGAACTTTTGGGCAACTGGATATGGTGTATGTGACCCAGACATCTTGTTTCAAGTAGATTTTACCTTGAAATTATTGAGACATATGGTAAGTACGTTGGCTTTTTAAGTATAACTTGAAGTTAAGTGTATCTTTGCCAGATGGATCACACTAGTTTTTCAACACAATTTATAAAAACATTCATTTTATAGATATTTATCTTAGGACTTGTGAGGAAAGCAATCACCTGATTGTAACGATTTCATACATCATAAACTTCTTCATAGTATGTCATCAAAGTTTATTTCAGAAAAAAATATTCAGAGACTGTGTGTGTGTGTGTGTGTGTGTGTGTGTGTGTGTGTGTGTATTCCTTGGTACTGACACTTCAGTTACAATCGTTACCATAATCAGAAACAGACAATTTTAAGCTTTTCTGTGCTGTATTCTTTGAAATGAGATTCATCATTAAAATAATAACTCACTGATGCTAAGTAAATGAAACTTCTCCTTTCACAAGTTAGACAAAATTAGTATTATAGTTAGCAGAAGAAAATAAAGACCTCAGAAAGAGACCAACTGACCCTTCAGAGATGAGAGACACCATGTTCCAGGTTCCAGGGTCCAGTCTCTAGAAATATCAATTTTTTCATGTTTCATTTCTCAAAGATGTCTTATGCTAATGAAACTCTAGAGAGATTATACTTTGTGAAGGCTATTTGTTCACTGTGGTATAACTATTCCAGTCATGGTGTCTATACATAGTAGATGTTCAGTTAATGTTAGTTGAATACATGAAATATATGTAAGGTGAAACAGAAATAAAATTTATATATAGAGAAAAAATTCCCACATCTACTTTTCAGAGCATCTGGAGAGTCAAGACTTCCACTTCTGGTCAAGACAGGGTAGCAGGATTTACTCTCCCACCTGAAACAACAGTGACAAAAATGAACAAAATATGTAAAACAACCACTTTCAAGACACTGGACATCAGACAATGAAAGATAGTAGCACCTGAGACATGGGAAACAGGAGAGATGAGCCCTCTCCCCCAGTTGACTGCCTTGAGAGTTTCCAGGCCTTTGGGCAGGGATGGAAAATCTGGGCAGAGCCCAGTGGACTCCCTGGGTTGAGAAGAAGCTAAGAGGCTAAGGGGAGCAAGGTTAGAGTTAGAGTTCACAGAATAGAGTACCAGGGAATTGAACTGCACAGAGAAGGAACTTCTGAGATCTGCAGAGGAGAGGAACCCCTGCAACATTCAGCTGAGTATTAAGCAGGATATGCCTGTGAGGAAATACCAAGGCCTGGGAAAGGACTGCCCAAAAGTATTAGAGGGAACAGTGCTTGGAAGTCACACAGGTCTGGGAAGAGTGCCTCTTCCCACAAGCCAAACTAGAAACCTCAAAATTCACAGGGCATTAAGAGGACTGTTCTGAAGAGTCTTGCCTCAGTAATGAGGAAGAATTAGCTCTAGACCGAGCACTTCTCAAGTCCCACTTATTGAAAAAAAAAAGACTCAAATGGGTAAAAATGCTTCTATGTAGTTTAACAGAGCATCCAGAAGGTCAGGTTAATTAACAGATTGTTTAGTTGAGTGTGGATTGAAAGCAGAGGGAAAAGAGGAGTGTTGGTTCAGCCAAGCGGTGTACTGACCTCTCCTCCCTACCGCAGTGTGACACCTCTCCAGGGACTACATGACCAGTAAACCAGCCAGATTTTCAACTTTTAGATTCCTGCATATAGGTTATACATAGCAAAGTTAATTTGGATTCCAGATTTTATATTCAAGGCTCCCAAAACCTTGATTGAATATGAATGTTTTCAAAACTCCTTAGTCACACATTTGCGTGACTTCGGGTAGGCAACTTTATGTTGACTTTCCTAATTTTATCCATAGAGTGTAACCTCATATCATATATAATAAGATACTTTTATCACATCTATGTATTAAATAATACTGTGGCTGGGAAATATGAAAGCTATAAAGGAGTATTATTGTATAGGTAGGAATTAAAATAATAGCTAATCTATTAGTTCTTAAGAATATTCTAGTATATTGTCTTCTAAGCTTTGGACATGGGAGATATTCTATAAATATGTATAATTAGTGGATGAATGAATAAATGGGTATTTTTAGTAAACATTGGTTTCAAATGGCAATAAAGACTCTCCATTATTTTACTATTATTAAAAATGCATTTTAAAATATTTTAGCTTTTCTTTTCTTGAGATATTGTTTTATTTTATATTCAGTAAAGTAGATTTTAGTTGCAAAGGTAGAAATTAAAATAAGATTTTTTTTTTTTAGTTTGAAGCACTATTTGCTTATCAGAATATGTGATAATAAATCATTCATTACTTTTAAATTTAGTACTTTAGGGCTGAGTCCATGTCACCAGACTTCTACTTTGGAATCCCAGTTTGGTCTTTAATTCCTCATAATGACAGAAAACCAGAAACCAAAAAAACAACTAAGAAACAAATGCACCTTCACATTGGAAGCTAATAACAGAGCAAGGCCTTATGTAAGGTCCATCATCTCCCAGAACTTCCCCAAACCCAATCCCAGTGTGCCCCCCCACCTAGAGCCAAATTTCTAAAATGTGGGTCATGACCTAAAGGTTGCCCATGCTTTCACAGCTAAGTAGTATATCCAGGATTCAGCTGTAGGGCTGCTCATTTCAAAATGTTGGCAAGGTGATTGTCAAAGGAATAATGATGATCATAAAAAGGAAAAAAAAATTACCTTTAAGACATAACACTATAATACTTTTCTTTCCATGACTAATGATTTCTAGTGTATATCTCATCAAAACAGTGGTGGTCCCTGGTATTACCTTTTTTTTTTTTTTTTGAGTTGGAGTCTCACTCTGTCACCCAGACTGGAGTGCAGTGGCCGCTCCCGGCCACCACAGCCTCGACCTGCTGGGCTCTGGCGATTCTTCCGCCTCAGCCTTCCAAGTAGCTGGAACTACAAGTGCGCGCTACCACGCCCAGCTAATTTTTTGATTTATTGTAGAGATGAGGTATTGCCAAATTGGCCAGGCGGGTCTCGAACCCACGGGCTCAGGCAATCCACTCATCTCAACCTCCCAAAGGTGTGGGATTACAGGCTGAGCCACCGAGCCCAGTTGAGTATTATCGTAACACCAGGATAGTTTCAAAGTTATCACTATCCTCTAAAATGTTAGGTCAAGAGGGTAGGGGTTTCTCTGTTTGTTTACTGCTGTATCCCCAGTGCCTAAAATATGAGGCTTCTAAGAAATATGTGTTAAATGAATGCATGAATGAACCCCTTTTCTAGAACAATCTACATTCGTAGTTGATCTAAAGGACCATGGCACAAAAGTAGTTCTTTAAAAGAATTAAAATGTATCTAGTAGCATAATGACTCTTGGGCTGCCCAAACACTCATGTCTACAAGGAACCACTTCTCTCCTCATATCAGAGTATTTTTGGTCCCAACATCTATTTTTGTTTGTTTGCTTGTTTGTTTTTCCTTGCCCCATTTACTGGACTATAAAGTGATAGAGTAGAAAATGTTTGGGACCACATAGTACTCATGCTGTTTTCTAGGTCTTGAGAATCAGACCCTAGCAGGACCTAATAGTGTGCCTTAATCAGTGATGTTGGCAGCTACCTGACTGAGTACCCAGGAGCAAACCATCACGTTCAAGCAGAGTTATTGCTTAAAATGCAGAATATAAAAAGAGGAGAAAATCATGTATTATATGAAGCAAATGATTAGCTTTGCCTCCATTGAAATTTGTTTATAGACAAAATTATATTAAACATAATCTATTGAAGGAAACATCTTCTTAATCATCATCTTCTTCATCATTATCAGATTTTAAAGGAAGGAATAAGTAACTCTCTTTCTTCCTTCAAAATAAGAGGACATTCTTACTTTAAGGCAGAGGATAGATTAGATAGCCTCATTGGGTTCTTCCATATTGTATCATGGCATCTTCATAATCTTTTGGTTTTTTAAAACTCCATGTAACAGTACGGAGATACCATCATATAAATGCAAGCTAAGACTGAGAAGTAGATGTCTTTTATAAGTATGTTAAGAAAATTGGGCATTCACTGGGAAAGCAGTTCATAGAGAAAACATAGGAGACCAAAAATTGCAGGTCTCTACGCCTATAATTTTGAATCACTGCCATAAAAAAGAAGTCTATTGATGTTTGGGGAAACTGCAAATGGTCATGGTAAATGGAAGTTGTATGGTTCATTTACTACTCTAAAGGATTCTATCAGCTCTTCTGTAGGTTATTATAACTGCATTCGAAAATGTGAATGTTAAAGTGATATCAATAGCAACTACCCGAGACAGGATTAAAAACCATGTTAGATGGTTTATCATTTTTTGAAATGCTGGCTAATATAATGATTTACTAAAGAAATCTGAGTCAATTAAAGAGTTTGTTGCAGGAAATTGTTATAAATCTCTGGGTTTGGTTTCATTTCGCAGTTTTTCACCTTTGAGCAGTACAAGAAATTGCTGGGATATGTGTCACTGTCACCAGCATTGGTAAGTGAGAGTATTTATTATACTTAACTGTGTGTGTTATTTCATAAAGCAAAATCTAGAAACAAAAACCCTTTTGATTCCCCAAACCTGGCTACTAAAATATGAATTCAAGTTATTCAATGTTCAGCTACTTGTTGAAAGCCATCTTCTTAATAACTCACAGTTTGGCTATTTTATAGCTCTCAGTGATGAATTTATGATAATAATGATATGTCTGGAAAGGTCTGTATGAGATATGGTCAAGAATATGAAATAAACAGTACATTTATCAAAGGCTCTTTTAAAACCAAGACATGCATATGTTTACATACATACTGCACATATCTATTTATGCAAAAGTCAATATGCCCAAGATTATTTCCTAACAGGTCACTTTTCCAGTCTTTGCTCCAGCTGTAGTAAATATAGGACTTCAGGTCCCTTGGGATAAAAATCACTCTGTGGTCAGATGCAGACTGAAGGACCTTTTATAGGAATGACTAAACAACGCAGCTAGGGAGAATAGTGATCTTACAGTGACATAGCTCAAATATTACACAAAATCACTTGGTGAGTTGAACATTTCCCCACATCATTCCTCTCTTCTTGGTGACTTTGCTGCTTTTCACAAAATGAGTTAAATTATATTGACTAAATGGGTACTACAAGTGTGTGTCCAACAAGAACCCCAGAGAGAGCAAATGCACTAACTTCTCTCTCCAAGCCTGCAAAACAAAACAAAACAAAATCTGCAATGGCCCTCCCACTGGCAATGTACCCTCCAGTCTCTAGGAAAATGCCCTTATTCGCCTGCTGAAACATACCTCAAAACTCACCCAGATGGGAAAAACAGATGCTGGACACTGCTAAAGGATGTAATCAGGGAGGACAGCTAAGGAACACACAGCACCACACTGCGTACCAGGTCCATTGGTGGGGTGGGGAGAGAGGACCCACTTGAAGCTCAAACTTCACCTGCACACAATTTACTTATGTAGCAAGTCCTCACATGTACCCCACAACTAACATAAAATAAAATAAAAAATAACTCCCCCGAGAGACAATGTTCTGAGGCTTCATCTCTTTACTTACCTGTAAGGGTTCATTTCAGAATATTTATTCTGCCAAGTAAACTGTCCAAGAAGTACCTGTTATTTTTTAAATACATTGCTTTTCTAGGAAGGATCCTGTTAAGAAACCTAATGGTAGCACTTTCTGTTATGACAGAAAAATCTCCTGTCCAGCCTCTGCCTAAACAAGGTACAGCCTGCTAGGAAGGAGAAATGGTACCATGAATCTCAAAAGTAGCTAAGATATTTTTTCTTTTAGTTCTTGATATCTTTCCTTAATATCATACTTAAATTTGGAAACATCTTTTCAAAAAGAGGATTAAAAACTTCCTAACAACGGATAATAAAATATGGTCTCCAGGGGACCAACTGGCTGTTCTTCTGTCTAGCATTGATACTATGGGAGAGCCTATGGCATTTTGACTCTGAAGAATGGAAACAGAAAAGCATTGGGCTGCTCCAGCTACTCTTACCAAATGCATGCAGACTGTATACAGTTCTTCTCTTTTCTTGAGCTCATTTATTCCCGTTTCTTTTTGGTACAGGTAGACACTTAAATAGCCATTAAATGTCCCTTGGTGCTCTCACATGAAAAGCCTAGGAGGCTGGAAACCCAATAGTAAATGTAGGTCTTGGGAACAACCTAAGTAATACGATCTGCTGATCTCTGATCAATTCTTTTGACAAGGGACTACTGAACACTAGTACTGACAGCAAATGTAGCTGAGTTTTAGAGAAGAACAAAAAAGTGAATTACTTGGAAGATTACATATAGTAGGTAATAAAAACCTGAACATCTGGATTTTAGTTTTCCCAGTCAGAAGAGTTTGGGACTAGTTTTTTTTTTTTTTCATGGAAGCCTGAGATAAATGAATAAAATACTTGATCAGTTACCCTATACAACTATGTTTAAAACTGTAATGAAGGGTGGTGAAAGGAAAACATCATTAGCTATTCCTTCTCTCCTAGATTCCGTAGCCAGTTCCATTCTTCCTCTCTTTTTATGTGCAACACAAACAAACAGCGGTGCTTGTATGGTACTTTACAAAGGGCTTGCACACATTCTTTTGAGCCACATGATAACTTTAAGTCCAGGGAAATTAGATATTACTATCTCCATTTTACAGATGGGAAAACTGTGGCTCCTCAAAGATTCATTGATTCCTATGCAGAGTCACAGCTAGCCCCCATGGTGCCTTTGTGTGAATTATCAAAAGGTGCCCCTTCTCCTAACTGATGCCTCTTCAGGACACAGCTTGGCAAATGGAGGCTGGATGGAGCCCATTCTCCACACACCCTTGGCTGGACACTTTTGTCTGTGCACAGACCACTGAATCTGATAGCTCAGGTAACACAGTCAGTAAGTAGCAGAACCAGGACCTACGCCCTGATTCTATATCCTACCCTCCTTCCACTCTGCCTCCTCCTTTAAGGTTACAGAACATTCTTTTGTCCCTTCTCTCCTTTAGTCTTCTAGTTTGAAGGGATTGGAGACTCTTCATAAGAGTTGTCTATTCTTTACTCTTCGTTGGTTTTATGCTTCTCTTAGTTGTGTGTAGTACCTCCTCTTCTCCTAGAGTTGAAGGTTCAACACTAAATAATCACTATTTTCCAGCATCTGTTTTGGAGATTGAGGCTTATCATTTTTCTGCTTTGTTTCTGCATGTTTTAATTATTGTGGTTAATTTTTATACAAATTTAAAAAAAAAAAACTTTTAAGCATTCTACCTAGAGCAAAATTCTAGAAAGTTGTTCTTTTCTACTGCAGAAATGCTTAACAGATAGCAAATAAGAACCTGGCATACAGTCATCCTTTGATAAATGTTCTTGATGTAATTGAGTCCTTCAGAACAACCCATCTATTTCTGATCTCAGCTTTTAGGTCCAGAAGGATAGGGCAATTACCAGTTTTTTAAAAACAAGACAACAAAAGGATGAATTAAAAATAATTTTTGTTTGTGAATAGACTAGAATAGTGATGCTAAAAACGTGACTATACATTTAAATGTTTCTAGCTATAGTTACCTGAAATTTAGCTTTTGATACATATTTTATTTGTGGTTCTGCTCCTTGAACTTCTTTATAATCTCAATAAATGAATTTAAGTAGATGTTTAAAAACAAAGCTCTCCTTGTACAACTCAGTGTTTTTTAATTGTTATATGCGCAGATTTTGTAATGTCCACCTTAAATCCGTAAAACAGTCTTGCTTTCTGTTAAAGGAAGAAGTCGTTGTTGATGGGACTTTGACACTCTATTTTGGAATTGTTCGGATGTGGTTTGTGGCTTCTGTAATTTCTTCATGAATTGTCAGCATCTAATCAAGAACTAAAGCTGTTTAGTAATGGTATATGGTCCCTTTATGTAGGCTGCTCCATTCTCATTATAACATTCAGCTGCATAGTGTAGTGAATGGGATGCTTAAGCCAGTACACATGATAACTTGTTTTAAAGTATTGATTGATTTAATTTTTCTAGGCATTTGCCATTGCTGGATTGGGATCTGGACTTACAGAAGCCATTGTAGTTAATCCTTTTGAGGTAGTAAAAGTTGGCTTGCAAGCCAATCGGAACACATTTGCAGCAGTGAGTATTCTGATGTTTTCCTATTGTTGGGGGCACTAAATATGTATTTTTAATTACACATGTAAAACAATGGACCCAGTTCTTATCTACTTATTAAAGCCATAGTAAATAATTTTAAGGAAATAGCATAAGAAAAAGTCAAATATCTTACACAAGGAAAGTGTTAACAAAAGTTCTAAGACGTGTTTATGCATTTTTATTTTAGAGTTCTAATGTAATTTTATAATGATTTATTTGGAGATGTTTTCCTGACTTCTGACAAAACTCATCTTTCACATTGCCCTAAAATAGGCTATAGCAAAACCACTAAGGTGGTAATATTTTGCTTTAAGATATAAGTAAGTCATTTTAAAAAATGACCTCACTCCTTCCCCCACTCCACCCACCACCCGCCCAAAAGATTTCTGATAATCTGTCAAACCTGTCTTTTGGTTAGATATGAATGAGCAAGTTACTAAACCTGTGTAGACATCACCACTTGGACAATGATGGGGTATGACATTTAATCATGGGTACATGACGTTCCATGGAGACAGCTAACCTTGGTGTGTGCTGCCTTCATTTCCTTCCATTTGCCTAATAATTCCCTTTAAACCGCCAAGTCCAACTGCTCTTGTTTTATTATTTGGGGTGCCAAGCACAAGGTAGAGGAAACAAGGGGATTGGTCTTGTTAGCATTTCAGGGCCTTTCTTAGCATTTCAACTTAATTCCACAACTGGGTAGCATGTGGTAGAAATTGGTTTGGAGTATCTACTGACCTGTATTTTTCTGTAGAAAAGTTCCCCTACCTACTGCTTAAGCAGCTGCTAATGGGTGGAGACCTCCTTGCCCCCGCCCCACTTCCTGCCTGCTGATACTGCCTGAGAGCTTCCTGGCAGCTTCTTGGGCAAGGGTGTGGGGAAGGAGGGGGCCCTGCTCACCTGTAGCTGCCAAATCTGGGGGGATGGGCTGGGCTGTTACAGCAGATGGTATCTACTCAGATGAAGTCAATCCTAATTCAGGTTTGGTTTTGTTTTGTTTTGAAGTTTTAAAAAATTGCCTTAAATACAGTAATCTACAGCACTTCAGAAAAGGTTGAGAATCTCTGTATTCCCCTAGTTTTTGTTTCTGTTCTGCTTTCTCTCTATTCTTTTATGAATAAAGGAAAATGATAGTGAGGAATAGGGGGAAGAAAAGAAGCATTTATTTTAAATGTCCTATCAATAGGGAGCATTGAAACAATTCCTGTGGAATCTGCTTCAGGAAAACTTAGTTTGCTAGACTAGGAGGATTACCAGCTGCAAGAAAATTTTAGAGATCCCCATCCAGTGCCTCATTTTGCCTACTGAGAATTTTGTCTTGAAACAGCAATGCGTAGGCAAAGGTATAAACAGGCCTTCAATGACAGTCCTTTATCTGGGCAGTATGTAACTATGGGGACGCAAATGGGACAGTGCACTAAACAGCACTCACAGGAATGAAAATCATGTTATTTATCACAGCATATCTACTCATGCCTGACATTCTTATTCTCTCCTTTGCCCTCAAGGAGGTTCTACATTGAAGCCAAGTAAGAGCTGCTAATGTTTTGCATGTGCTAAAACCTTGCTAGAACACAATAAACAATCCCCGCCACACACACATACACAAGAATGCACTGCATGTATATGTGCTTCTAGTTCATTTATACAAGTGCAATCTATGTAAATTATGTATATTCGGCCATTTGTTAAGCAGGAGGTGAGAGGTAGAGGGAGCTTGTTTGAGGTCATTTCTTTTGCATAATCCATTGAACTGGACATTATCAAGTTTTAACTTAAACAGTATAAAATCTGTTCAATGCATTATAAAAGGTCTTTAGTGTTATTATAACTAGTCAGAAATTAGCAAAATTACTGATCACATAATCACACATATTAGCAACTATTTACAGCAACTATCAGAATTCAGTAGGTGAACCAAGGTGGTGTTTTGATGTGGTGTATTTTTGGCGATACTGATCAAATTGAAGCAGTTGATTAGTAGTGGGTGGTCGCTCAACATAAAGTAATGAGACTTTGCCTATTGCAGAAAATGTCTGAGGAAAGGATATGCTATGATAACAAATAGAAAATTTAGATCTAGTTATTTAAAAAATAACTACTGGTGATTTTTGCTGCTCTCATGGGTCTTTTATCTGGGACCCGATAATGCCATTGACTTTCTTCATTGAGTAGCACTTTCTTTTATCCAAGGAGAAGATCCCTTTTTGCTAATCTGTACCTGTAGTGATTTATCCCATACACTGGGTGTGCTTACTGCAGCATTTGTATGGTCAAGAATAATTTCTTTCTTTACTCTAAGGCTTTGTGGGTTGTCAAGTATAAAACAGAGGTGGGGAGGAGGAGGAAGAGGAAGAAGAAGATGAGAAAAGGAGAAAGAAAAGAATTAATTTAATATACACTCATTTAAAGATTTTACTTTAAATTTTTCTAATTCTTTTCAAGTATAAAAATAATGCATATTTATGTTATAAACACCAAAAAACTGTATTTCTTGTGTGTGTGTGTGTATGTGTGTTTATCATTCACAAATGATATGATCTACACTCTAGAGCAGTTCTATCCAATAACAATGTAATATGATACACATTTTTAGCTATATTTTAAAAATTTTCAACAAGTGAAATTAATTCAGTACTGTACTTTACTTACCCCAGTATATTCAATTGGTTTTTTTTGCCCTTTAAGACTATTTTTTAAGGCCGGACACAGTGGCGCATGCCTGTAATTCCAGCACTTTGGGAGACCAAGGAAGGAGGATTACTTGAGCCCAGGAGTTTGGGACCACCCTGGGTAACATAGCAAAATCAAAAAATTAGCCAGGATTGGTGGCATGCGCTTCTAGTCCCAGCTACATGGTAGGCTGAGGAGAGTGGATCCCTTAAGTGCAGTAGTTCAAGGTTACAGCGAGCCATGATCCAGTCTGGGCAAAAGAATGAGACTGTGACTGAAGAAAAAAGGAGAAAGAAAGAAAGAGAGAGAGAAAGAGAGAGAGAGAGAGAGAGAGAAAGGAAGGAACGAAGGAACGAAGGAAGGAAGGAAGGAAGGAAGGAAGGAAGGAAGGAAGGAAGGAAGGAAGGAAGG